AGTCGTCCTCGACAGGAACTATCGGGGCATTTTCCGTTTCCGAAAATACCGTAAACAATCGTGCTTTGGTTTCTGCATCAAAATCAATTTCTACATTTGAAAATTGTGACGTCTGATTTTCTGCCGATTCATCCATAACATCAGCCGACGCGACTTGGCGAATTAATTCCAAATTATTTTCTGATTCTGAAATCGGACGATAGAGAACCGAAATTCTATTATTTTTCATGAAATCTCGACCCAAGACAATATCGGCAGGAAAGAAATCATCTCGTAAAACCAACAACTTAACGTTACAGACAAAATTAGGCATTGATTTTAAACAAATAGTCGATGCGACAGAACCAAGCAAAGATATCGATAAATTATTTAAACCAACATATGACCGATTTGTTTTATCGAGCGACGATCGGTCAAAGAATTTCTCGTATACAGAAGATCGCAAAAAAGAGGATGGACTACCGGTGTCCATCAACGCAACAAGATCACACGGTATTTTATTAAGAAATGAAACCTGTACGCGAGTGTCACTTATCTCAAGTCTGTTATCCCGCCTCATGGCTGCACTCGCAACTGATTCCAGTGAAGTGGTGGCACTAGTAGTATCCTCGGTTGCAGCCACCGTAGACGGTTGAGAGGGAGTCCCTGATGATCGGCTCTGCTCTTTCCTCTTCAACTTGAAACAAATATCCCGGGTATGGCCTTTCTTCTTGCAGTAAATGCAGAAAAAATCCTTGCTCGGCTTCCCGTCTTGACTGGAACTGACTGCGGCATCCTTCGAAGTAGATTTAACTTTGTCACTCTCTAGCTTGTTAACAGGAAACGTTGTTTTCGTGCTCGGCTCATTGAACGTAGTAGAAACATTATAAGAAGCTGTGACGTCATGCATACGTCTGAGAAACAAGTCTATGCTATCCGCCGGTAAAGCTGCAGCAGTGCTTCTTATTCCGGAATGATTAATACCATTGACCAATAAATGTATCTGGTCACGTTCTGGCAAATTCAAAGTTTGCATTAACGCTAGTTTTTCCATAGCGTATTCTTGAAAAAATTCTCTGGCGAAGTTCCACCTACGTGATTCCGTCTTCTTGAATGTAACGTGATGAAGAGTGTCTCTTTGAAAACGACTCGAAATGGCTTGCTTGAAAGAAGGCCACGTATCATTCACAACACCTGTGTTCAGGTCGAACCACCGACGAGCTAATTTCACTAGCTTGCTCGTAGCCGCCAATAACACGACATCTGGAGACGCACCATGGATGCGAGAAACACGATCCACTTTTTGGCAACCATAGTTCCACATTATCTTCTTCCGAACCACTAAACTCTGG